ATTTGGCATGTAGGCACGATAAAGGCTACAGGTTTTAATCGATATTAATGAAACTTGGTATCCATGTATATATTGAAGTTGGAAATTCGTATTAATCCGATGAACGGTTTCAGAGTAAATGCCCTTGTGTGTACGTCGATGAGGCCTTGTCCATGTTTGAACTTCAATGATAATTTGATTTTGAGATTTAACCTTGACTTTAAATAATTTTAAGATTATTTCAATCTTTAAAATTTCTGACAGCTGGTGGTGGGCGTATGTTAACTTGCTTGGCAAGCTATCTTTATACCAAGTTATACGGTCTCCTTTTGCATAATATTGCTCTATACCACACCTCCATTTCCTTCCTCTTTTTACTCCCTAACTATTATTCCTACCTAATCCTTCCCGACTTTATGTCGAAATACCTCCAGGTTTAGGGAGTGATCCATGACAGTCTAAAAGATGCAAAACGTGTTCTTTTATATCACAAAACGTACTACTTTATAAGTAACGAAGAAAAGGTATTCGATCCAGAAGTATCATTTATGATACCATAAATTTAATTTTCTTTATCAAATGTCCCAATCAATTTGTACGAGAAACTAAAAATAATTTACGCACTTGTTTCTGGCGCATAAATCATATATCAAATTAAAGAAAGACAAGCATGTTTCTAATCATTTATCATGCGATCTTATCCTAATCCCTATTTAGCGCAATGACAACTAGCAATCGAGCAAGTAAGATAATCCACGCCCATTATGAGAGTGCAAGAGAAATTCACCCGTGTCTATAAACAAAGATGATTGTTGAATTTTCAAAAAAACAAAACTTAAATGACAACCTTGTTGTTCATAGCCAACTAAAGCAAATTAGTATATAATAAACTAACCTCTCGCCTTTTGGGTGAATTCTTATTTTATCTAATTTCAGATCTTAACAGAAGAAAGTTCAGGACCGCTTATTCCATTTATAACAATGAACTATTTGTTCCACCCTAGGCCTGTACATTTGGGAGAATCAAAACAATCTTCCTCGAAATATAATTCCTACCTGACTTTCATTACTAACATCTCCATATAATTTTTCCTTTCCTCCCTGCTTCTTTTTTCTTCAAACTTTCTTTGTTGCCCTTCCTCTTCTCACCTCTTTTAATACGCCCACATGGAAATGCAGACGTGTGGACGTATATAACTATATTGCATTTCGGGGAAGGGAGTGTTTGATTCTCCCAAATGTACAGGCCTAGGGTGGAGCAGACACTTTATTTAGAAATTAGGATTAAGGGTCTTGATATTGGGTTTTCTTCTGTTCTTATTCTGATCTGAAATTAGAAAAAATAACTCCATGAGAGTATAGTATCTGTTATGTACTGATTTTTTTAGTTTACTATGAACAATATTATCATTTAAGTTCTTATTTTTTGAATATGCAACTATCATTTTCTACTTATAGACATGGGGGAATTTCTCTTGAAGGCTCTTATAGTGGGCATGAACTATCTTGCTTGCTCGATTGCTGGTTGTATTAAACGGGACAACAAAGGGTGCTATGCCTACATTATGATGAATATTTAGTCCTATAGGTCTTGCTGTATTCAATGTCTCAATCCAATGGGCCTCCCTAGATTGACGGAATTTGGTAGTTTCATCTTCGGGCAAGTCAATTTCTATACGCTCAATTGGGATTAGGGTGAGATCGTCTATTGAATGGTCGTCGAGGTTGAAATGATTAGAAACAGGCTTGTCTTTCTTTAATTTATTACCACACAATATAGACAGATCTGATTTGGATTAAATTCGGTCTGATAATTTATATCGGTTTATTCTAGATCTATATTTGATGTTTTTGGGTGGATAAGCTCACCATAAATAACTGACATTATATGAATAAATTCAAACTACAAATGCATTATAAAGATTTTTAAAATGAGACAATTTATCTACTTATCCGCCTAGAATCTATTAAATTAGAAATATTCCTTCATAGTTCTAAACCGGGCAACGTTTGAAACCTCCCTTCCTCGAAATATAATCTGAAAATCCATCCGGAAGATATTTTGAAATTTTTATTGTCGATGACCTTACATTACATATTATTTTAGAGGAAACTAATAAATCATAAAACGTATACTATAGTTACAATGTATAATGTTAAAATGAAATGAATGGAGTTTTACGTCGTACTGAATGTATAATGTTAAATATAAACTAAAAATGTAAAATATAAGTTACAAATAATAAGAATAATGACTGGGAAACAAGATACTATTCATAATCTCTAAAAGTCTATATAAAATATACTTAATTCAATTTCAATCGATTCTCATCGACAAACATAGACAGGATAATCCTAACCGAGACCTTTGATTGTTATTTCGATATAGCTGTGTTAGCGTATAGTACTTAACTGTAATAGTACAGTAAAACAAAGTATACTTTAAACCTAGCCATTAATTTGTGAATGATATACTTACTGCAGGGGGTTTCAACCCGGGAAAATTATCCCTAATGAGGTACTTTCGACATTTTTGGTTCAATCACTCTGAATTCTGCAACATGAAGATGATTATAGGAAAATTTAAGGGAAAATCACGAAAGTAAGGATTAATAGGGGAAAAGGGACAGTATTTAAATTTATAGGGGGAAGAGGGGTAATGCAATGGATATCTGAAAGTGGTAATAGAAAGAAAAAGGTTAAAAAACATCGGCATATCCAATTTTCAATCCAATGTATGCGTTGACCTCAGTCGATAAGAGAAAAATAAATATTATTAAGTACATTCTCATACACGTCTTCTTTACTGCCCTAAAACTGCATCATTTATCATGGTAAAATAAATCTTTTTTTATTATGTTTGTTTTCCACTCCTTGTATGTGTTAGCAAACAGAGCAATGACGTTTATAGTGTTATCAAATATTGTAATGTCTTTTTAAAAATATAGAGAGGAACCACCCTTAAGATGGATCGTAGTTTCATAAGAAAATTTATGGAGATTTCATTTGTTGGCATTAAGCGTGAATTTGGCACTACCACATTCGAAGCTCCCAAGAAAAAATCTACTAATCTCGCAAAACAAGATTCTTTCAAAGTTTACTATCACAATTCACCATGATATTTTTGACAAAATAGTCTTCCATTATTCAGATTTTATTTCAGTGATAGAAGTAATGAATTTTGTAATTTAACAAAAAGTTGCTTTTCGCGTATCTCACTTTTATCTCCTTTGTAAATTGTTTATACAGATTGGGTGTAAGTTAAGAGGATAAAGTATTGGTTAATTTTGTTCTATTAGTCAACGTTGCTGACATTGTGCAATTCCAATATCTTGGAAATATATATTTTTGAGGAATAATGTCACTGATTTTTTATTTGAATTAACCAAAAATCATAAATTTTCTTGATATCACCATTTCAATTTTTTTAGGATCAATGAACATCCCTCTTTAATTTTACAAGTGACATATTTATACACCATTGTACTTAAACAAGCCGTAAGATTTATTATGAAAAAAATATCTTTATAATATAGTGAAGGAATGTTTGTTTTTGACCTCGGTGACCGATTAAAATGATATTAACCTAGTATTATCATATAATATCGGATGCGATATTGTTGTCTTCGGTTTCCGTTTATTCAATTTCTACCTCTTCATTATCTAAATTTATACTACTAGGCCAAATTATATACAATCGGAGGAAAAGGTACAGGATGGAATTTCCCCTTGTTGTTCGCCATGCTAGACTCTGAACTCTCTTAAGACACACCTTCCTCCCAAATTAAGTCATGACGTTTCCTCCTAAAAATTAACAAACATTTTGATTAGTTGAAATTTTAACTGGGAGGTAAGAAATATTCAATTTAAATATTCATTACCACCATATATGGTCATCCGACCCACAAATTAAAATTTTATGAATGAAATATTTTTGTTTTAAGATTATAGTGTGACCACGCAAATGGGTGCATTAAGTATTTGTGAAATTTAGAAATTCGAGAGTATATAAGGCTTAGAATATTTTCTACAAACCATTCAATCTAAGAAGACGAGGAAAGAATAAATAAAAGTCTCCAGAACATAATATCTATTTACACACGATGAATACTGTAATTTGGCTATGCCTATTAGTCGTAAGTAAATATTTTACTTCATTTGAAAGTTTGTCAACTGAGCTTTGTTTCTTGACAGATTTAGAATTTTCACAAGCATATCGCAGAACAAATTGATAAAATTTGATTCTTTCTAAACGAGTACTTGCAACTGTATTTAGGTAGCCGAGGTGGCTCAGACGCTTGCACGGCATAGGTCAAGATGATTCCTTCGGATTGTGCGACCCGGTTTCCCCCTGTCAGTGATGCAGGTAAGAGGAGCTGACATGGAAAAAGCGTCTAGTCATGCGGATGGAACAATAAACCGAGGCCCCGTGTACTACAGGCTGCGCTTGTTTAAGATCCATGGACAGTTGGAAATCGAAAAAGACCAGGCTAATGCCGCTTTCAAGGCAAAATTTCCCTCATAACACACTGCATGGCGTTGCCCGTCTTCAATAGTTCATATGGTGCAAAAAATAGGAGCATAAAACTCCACTCATTTTACTTCTTTGCCTCGGTATTTGCGAAAGAACGTTACATTTTCTTTCTTTGATTGCCATTTGCAAACAAGATTAGTCAAATTATTCATTTGACTTCATCTATATTTCAGACTGTTTATGCTGCACCATCAAAATTAGGTGAGTACAAGATTTGTCTATCTTAATAGAGCATTTCAATTCATGTTAGAATGTATAATAGAAACCTAGAAAATCATTCTTGAATGACGTGAATGATGATTTCTTTAATGTGTTAAAATGATAATACATTAAATATTTAAATTCATTAATGTCGGGATGCTGCATTTTTTTTTGCATTAGTTTTCAAAATTTAGATGATCGTAAATTTTTCAATCTGATTTTTTCAGATTCTTTTAAAATTATTTATTTATTTTTTACAGCAAGAACATGTGGTGGTAAACCAGCTGACGTGGTCTTTGTGATTGATTCGTCGAGCAGTATCTGGGAATACGACTTCAAAACTCATGTATTACCTTTCGTTCGTGACGTCACTTCAATGTTCGATGTCGGTCCTAATCCAACCCAGTCTAGAGTTGGCGTTGTCACATTTGGAGATAATTACTACTTACGATTTCATCTGAATCGTCACATGGATAAAAATTATTTAATGAAAAGAATAATGACCATCGGGCAAACTGGTGGAAATACAAATACGGCTGGAGCTCTTAATTACGTCACGGATAGGATGTTTGTGGAAAAAAATGGAATGAGGCCGGATGTTGATCATATTGTTATTATTCTGACTGATGGTGAATCCATGAGCTACCAGAAAACCAAAGAAGCAGCTTCACGGGCACATAAAAAGGGTCTTCAAGTTTTTGCTATTGGTGTAGGTGATGCTGTAGACGATGTTGAACTGTCAGACATTGCTAGTGACCCAGATTCACAGTTTAAATTCCACGCAACTGACTTTGAAGCTTTACAAAGAATAAAAGAAGAACTAGCTATAAAGACCTGTGAAGGTGGGTGATTTTTAGTATTTTGTAGTCAACACATCAGTATCTATCTTTAATAATTGGTTTTTTTTTCTCATCAGTGTTTCTGTACCTGGAAGTAGAATTTAGTTACTGTATTATCCTAAAACAACATTTCGTAACAAATATGTTCTATATTTTTTTTATTTCAGTTCCCACAACTACGACAATGACAACAACCGAACCAACTACAACAACTAAAGTTCATACAACACCAAAAAACACACAAAACGACAAGCCTTTTTCTATTAAAAGTATGTATTAATTTCATATTACGTTCATACAAGAGCATGCTTTTCAATTCCAGAAAAGACACGAGAACAAATTCAGAGAAACATTATTAACGTTTTCTTTTTCAAACCAACAGCAGAATTTATTGTTTACATGGTACTTGTACTTTCTTGTTATCCTTTTCTTAATGTTTCATACGGGCAATGATAACCGCTAATATGTGAATTATGTTTGTTTACAGGTTGTGGTGGTAAGCCAGCTGATGTTTATTTTATCGTGGACTCCTCATCTAGCATCTGGCCGAAAGACTTCAGCGATAAAATGTTGAAATTTGTCAAAGAAGTCTCAGAAATATTTGATATAGGATCCAAGAAAACACGAGTTGGTGTAGTTACATTCAGCGATGACTACAAGCCAATATTTGGTTTAAATGCTTACTCAGACAGCAAAGGTCTCCTGGAAGCACTTTCGCCGGAAAATATACCATTTATGTCAGGAGGAACTAATACAGCTGATGCAATTAAGTACGTAAGAGAGATCGGATTCGCACCAAATGTTGCCAGGCGGGACGTAGCTCATGTTGCTGTACTCATTACTGATGGTATGTCAATGGATCCTGAAGCTACAGTGCTGGAAGCTGAAGCTGCTAAGAAATCTGGAATCTACATGTTTGCTATTGGTGTCGGTGACAGTGTTGATCAAAATGAACTAATTGATATGGCGAGTCAGCCCTCTAAAGACTACGTTTTCAACGTCAATAACTTTGGTGCTTTAGATACTATCAAGACTTTGTTAGCTATGAAGACATGTTTAGTTAATTCTGGTGAAGAAAATCCTCGAGATCAGGAATATCGTAAGTTTATATTAACTTCATTGGGGACGAGGGATGTACTAGCTACATAATAATTTTAACTGCAAAAATTTCACATTGAATAATCTATTTTTCCTTAATCGACGGTAAAGGATGTCAAGTATTTCTCTTTAAACTCTACATCAAGATATTACATAGCCACTTGGAGCTGTTGTTATATTATAGCACATTTAGAGGCATTTTTAATCCCAAGACGAACTAAAGTTAACTAACTATAATCGATTTTATTTTTCACTATAATCCTGATTTTCATGAAAACTCAATATTATATTTATTTTCTTTCAGAATGTGACTTTAAATCTTCAGACATCGTCTTTGGTTTTGATTCTTTCGCTATGGGACAGACTGTAAGCCATCGTGTTGTTGACGTAATTACCACCGTGACAAATAAGATATCATCAGGAGATAACAGATTCAGTGTTTTATCGAATGCCTGTTCTAAACACCGTGATATTCCCATGACAAATATCCGCGAAGCCGAACAAGCTCTTGGCAACATGAAAGACATGATGTCTTCACAACTACACAATATCATTAAGAAATTGAGAAGATATGCATTCGGATCACGAAATAATGCTCGAGCAGAAATGAACAAAGTTGCAGTTTTATTTTTAGATGAATCGACAATATTAAACCGGGACGCAGTTATTGCCAACGCTAAAAGAGCAAGAGCTTCTGGAGTTGAGTTGTTTGTTGTAACTTTTGGTCAAGTTGATCAGTCCCTAGTGAAGGAAATTGCCTCTAAACCCCTTAAGTCACATTTGATCCAAGTTCAATTCGATGACAATGTAAGTGACATTTCAGATCACATATTGAAGAGTCTCTGTTAAAAAATAGTCGTTTTAGCTGAGATGACCAGTCGTCTATCGTCCATTTACCATGATAGAGTATTACGAAAGTTCAGGTTTTATATCATTCTTTACTCTTCAACACTCTCCGTTTGTCAGAGAAAGGATGAGCTATGTTTTCCATAATTCAAATTTTCTTACATGACAAAACTTGTGGTGGAAACTGACGACAGCCACGTAATTAAATGATAAATAAACGAGAATAACAGCGTGATGAATGGAAATTGGACATTCCTGTGTGAATATCTGTCGCGTTACAGCTATCTTGTGATATTTCATTATACAGTATTATGTGAATATAAATCACCGCTTCTACTTGCAATATTTTTCATTGTGACAACAGGATGAATACGACCTTTTTTATGTAGTATTTTATACATAGTATTCTAAACAATGCAATAACTGGGTATCCATCATTTGTCGCATTTTCAGTATGATACTTTGGTTGAATGGAACTGCTTTGTGATACATTACATTATTTACTGACGTTTATATTCTCTTTTTTTGTGTGCAATAATCAGAGTTTTGTATTTACATTATATTAAGTTGTATTGTGTATGTATGTCTGTATCCCTTGCAAAGATATTTGCAAGTGATTTTATGTGTTGAATTTAATTCCCTACCGTATGTATTGTTTTTGTTTTTGTACACACACATTATGATGTGTTGCCTACGAATATTTATTTTTATATTTTGTGTTGTAATCATGTTTCATTTTTATGTTTGATATATATTGAAGATCTAATTATACTTTTACATACAATTTTGAAAAAATAAATATTTTTTCCTTTCAAATATTTTTTTGATATGAATGTATAAAAACGGCAGCGTTTTGAAAGTACCAAGCATAAAAGGGCAGCGTTTTGAAAGTACTAAGTATGAAAGGGTAGCGTTTTGAAAGTACCAAGCATAAAAGGGCAGCGTTTTGAAAGTACCAAGTATAGGGGGTAGCGTTTTGAAAGTACCAAGTATAAAAGGGAGGCGTTTTGCAAGTACCAAGTTTAAAAGGGCAGCGTTTTGAAAGTACCAAGTTTAAAAGGGCAGCGTTTTGAAAGTACCAAGCATAAAAGGGCAGCGTTTTGAAAGTACCAAGTATAAAAGGGTACCGTTTTGAAAGTACCAAGTATAAAAGGGCAGCGTTATGAAAGTACCAAGTATAAAAAGGAAGCCTTTTTAAAGTACCAAGTATAAAAGGACAGCGTTTTGAAAGTACCAAGTATAAAAGGACAGCGTTTTAAAAGAAGCAAGTGTAAGAGGGCAGCGTTTTGAAAGTACCAAGCATAAAAGGGCAGAGTTTTGAAAGTACCAAGTATAAAAGTACCAAGTATAAAAGGGCAGCATTTTGAAAATACCAAGTATAAAAGGGCAGCGTTTTGAAAGTACCAAGTTTAAAAGGGCAGCGTTTTGAAAGGAGCAAGTATAAAAGGGCAGTGTTTTGAAAGTACCAAGTATAAAAGGGGGGCGTTTTGAAAGTACCAAGTTTAAAAGGGCGGCGTTTTGAAAGTACCAAGTTTAAAAGGGCAGCGTTTTGAAAGTACCAAGTTTAAAAGGGCAGCGTTTTGAAAGTACCAAGTTTAAAAGAGCATCGTTTTGAAAGTACCAAGTTTAAAACGGCAGCATTTTGAAGTACCAAGTTTAAAAGGGCAGCATTTTGAAAGTTCCAAGTTTAAAAGGGCAGCATTTTGAAGTACCAAGTTTAAAAGGGCAGCATTTTGAAAGTACCAAGTTTAAAAGGGTAGCATTTTGAAAGTACCAAGTTTAAAAGGGTAGCATTTTGAAAGTTCCAAGTGTATAATTTACGTACATATACTCTATTAGAAGTAACATGTTTCGAGTGTAAGATTCTGTCATTAGTTCAGATTTCCCCACAACTTGTAGGATTCTGGGATTAGAGGGTTATTTGCCATATTCTTTTCTGTGTGAATATGTCTGCCCACGTAGTTAAAGGGAGATAAGTCTGTAAGCTAAGCTATAAATGTGAAAACTCAATAGGCACAACGTCGAGTTGTATTCAATAAAACTAACTATTCAGTGTTTCTTTTCATATACTACTGAAAGTGTACACCTGTAATCAGAAGAGTAGAGGAAGCCAATTAATAACTTTAATCCATTCAAACAATAGCTTACGTCTCATTTATGATATTTTAAATTTATTTAAGTTTATTCATTCGACAAGCATTAGGTGCCTGTGCATTTTTTTACAAAAATGAATTCAAAATGTCCGTTATTACACACTGCATGGCAACTCAAATTATCTTATTTCTATTCATTGCCGAGGCAGATTCAGCTTTAAAGAAAATGTGGATGTTTGCCAAATGATCAATGTTATTTCAAAACTTTCTTTTTATGGTGAGTATGTTAAAAACTAAGATAGCTTGCGAGGCAAGGTAACATATGCCCACATCCTCAAAACTGTAGCGTCAATCCTGCTCACAAACTATTTTAAACAAATTTAGACGCGTTTTAACAAAGTCAAGGTCAATAACTCAAGATACCTTGCCAGGTAAGGTAAAATATGCCCGCTGGCAGCTTTGATTTTGAATAATATTTAGCAGGACAGTAACAATCACCAGTATGACCTTCAGTCATACACTTCTTTTGAACTCTTTAGGGCGATACTGAATAATATTGAGTATGAGTTATTGCCCTTGATCTTGAAAATGTGTTCAATTTTTAGCTCGTACTTACGCGGTACTTAATAATAAAACCAAGTTTTGTCAAAATCCGCCAAGAATAATGCCTTTTAGTGTTCTAGAGCTAAAATTTGAAGGCGTTAACAAGAACGAGGTCAATAACTCCTATGAAAAACATTCGATTTTTTTTATTTTCAATAGGTTTCATCCACGGGTGATAATAAACAATTTCACCAAGTTTCGTCAATATCTGTCAAGAATTGAGCCTTCTAGAATGTTTACAAGCCAAAAAATGAACGCGTTTTCAAGAACAAGGGCAATAACTTATACTAAATATTTTTCGATTTTTCTGATTTTCAATAAGCTTTACCCATGGGTGATAAACAACACTCATGCCAATTTTCGTCAAAATCTGCAATGTATTCTAGAGTGCCTTCTAGAGTGTTTACAAGCTAAAATTTGAACGCATTTTCAAGAACAAGGACAATAACTCATGCTAAATATTTTTCGATTCTTCTGATTTTCAATAGGGTTCATCCTTGGGTGATTATGAACACTCACAGCAAGTTTCGCCAAAATCTGTCAAGAATTGTGCCTTCTAGATTGTTTATGGGCTAAAAATTGAACGCGTTTTCAAGAACAAGGGCAATAACTCAAACTAAATATTTTTCTGATTTTAAATAGGGTTTATCCTTGGTTGATAACAAAAACTCATGCCAAGTTTCGTCAAAATCCATCAAGAATTGTCCCTTTCTAGAATGTTTACAAGATAAAAATTGAACGCGTTTTCAAGAACAGGGGCAATAACTCATACTAAATATATTTTGATTCTTCTGATTTTCAATAGGGTTCATGCTTGGGTTATAACGAACACTCATACCAGGTTTTGTCCAAATCCGTCAAGAATTGTGTCTGGTAGAGTGTTTACGAGCAATTGTGGACGGACGGACAGACGCCCCCCATTTGATGTGGGTGTATAAAAGTCAGGATCACAAAGTGACAATTCAGTTAAAGGAGTAGAAAATAGAATGATGGGAGTTGTTGAAACCCATGGTCAAACTTTATCACTACTTGAAAGTAGGTAGTAGAAAAAAAAAATGTGAGGAAATTGTGACAAGACAAAGCTGAAATTTAAATTTGCATTTTCTAGATGGCAGCTCAACGGTAAGGAATTTGCATACACAACAAAAGTACAAAATGAAGATATTGACAAATTGTGTGAAATTACAAATATGCAAGTTTTTGGAAAATGTTTTTGCATAACTGTAATTGATAATTTGGTTTCTGAAACTGCAGTATTTTCGGAAGTTATTTCTAGAATGCAACAACAAAAATTTGACAAAATGGAGTTTTCCACTACAAGACTTCCAGTTGGATTTGATGTCTGGAAATATATCTAAAAGGTAATTCCGCCGTCTGGAATATCTGACCCAATGCCAAAAATGTTTTAAGTATGACAGTTCGTGCTAGGTCTTCGAGCTCAACTCATCCATTGAATCGCAAGAACAAGATAGATCCTTTTTCCTATTTCAAAATTATTTCCGAAAAGAACCATTTCCAACTTAAGCAAATAAGCAAGTTAGTAGGGTGTAATTAAAAAAAAACAATTTAAGTTGAAAAGAATTGTCCAATCTTTATTTCATGGCTATAATTGACTGTGTTATTATATATCAGGTCATCATAGTTAATCAAGTAATCTCCAGAATGTTTTAAACAATTCTAAAAGTTTACCTAGAAATAAAACCTACAAAGATAATATTTCAGATATCAGGTCCTTGCAGTGGCTGCAACTAGATTAGTGGGGGACTTTGGACTTAATGAGTTGGGCCCCCTCATGGGAATTTTTTTTTTTAACATATGCTTTCCTGTATTTTTGTTCAAGTCACTGGGTCTGTGTAAATAAGTAATAATTTTACTACTCAATGTACATCTTTACCTTTCTGGTTACATTAATTAGTATATATCTATATATCTCAATAAAATGGTTAAAGATTTTAGTGATAGTCATAAAAAATGCCTAATGCATAATATAAGCAATATTTTCCATCTATTCTGTAATGTTATTTGATACAGAAAACTTCAAAATATAACTTGAATATAAACTTGATCTAGACCAAAACATTGTAATTAAATTCTTAAAAACAGACATTTTCACAACTGCAGTTTGATTGATAATAATTATATTTGGTGTAGTAAATACAGTTCTTTTACATCATTATATAAATAAAATCAATATAATATAGATATAGCTTAAATATGTCTATACAAATTGTGGGGACCTTGACTTTTCACCCGATTCTGTTTTTTTAACGTTACTAATTTGTTTTTCAACTTTAGTGCCTTTGGACTTTCCACTGGGACTGTTAGAATATTTAGTAATCTCTGACCCACTACCTGGTATCTTTGAAGCCAAGGTCTGACCAGATGCAGATTTTGATTCAGTGCTTTGTACATGACTAGATGATTTACTAGGATTAATTTTAGACACTATTGTAGCTTTAGCTATGGGAAAATTGATATTTTTAAATTTTACAGAGATTTTTGGGGATGTTTTGGTAATAGGTTCTGATCTCGAGCAGGTAGAACTAGAACATGAAACCCCCTTCGGTACATCTGCTTTTGAAGCTTTTGGCAAATATTTAACCATTTGAGAGCGTTTGGAACATGGTAGACTAGAAGTTTTAGGTTTGGTGCCTTTTTTATCGGGTATCTCTGCAACAACCACATTAGATACATTTTGGGATTCAAAAGCAGTTGGTTTGAGATGAGATGGTAATTTTTCTGTAACTGTTAAATTCACATCAGTTCTATCTGTGACAGATATGGATGGTACTAAGGATACTGCACCATAAGTTGGTTGAGTGTACAATGTTGAAATCTCATTAGTATTCACTATAAGAACAAAAAAAGTGTACATATAAAAACAAATGTTTGCATATATTGGCAAGATTGACCAACAACCATTAGAACAGTGCTTCTCAATCTTAAATTAATATAATTGATTCGCCAAAAAATTTACTGTGGTGCAGTTCACCATTGCTTATTGCTTATCAAATTTTTCAATATAGATTGAATGTTGAAGGGTCTAGTTTAAAATTACAAGAAAGCTTGCCAGGTAAGGTAATATACGCCCACTGGCAGCTTTGATTTTAAATAAAAATATTTAGCAGTACAGTAACAATTATCAGTATGAAATATTCAACCTTCAGTCAAACAATTCTTTTGAACTTTTTGGAGCGATATTATATAATATTACCAAGTTTCATCAAAAATACTTTAAGAATTGTGCCTTCTAGAGAGTTTATGGGCTAAAACCTGAACGCATTTTCAACAACAATTGCAATAACTCATACTCAATATTTTTCGATTCTTCTGATTTTCAATAGGGTTCATCCTTGGGTGATTACAAACACTCACATCAAGTTTCATCAAAATATGTCAATAATTTAACCTTCTAGAGCGTTTACGAGCTAAAAATTGAATGTGTTTTCAAGAACAAGGGCAATAACTCATAATAATTATTTTTCGATTCTTCTACTTTACGATAGTTGGTTGATAACTAACACTCGCAACAGGTTTCATCATAATCTGTCAAGAATTGTGCCTTCTAGAGTGTTTACATGCTGAAACTTGAACGCGTGTTTAATAACAGTAGCAATAATATTTTTCGATTTTTCTTATTTTCAATAGGGTTCATCTTTGGGTGATTACTTACACTCACACCAAGTTTCATCAAAATCCATCAAGAATTATGCCTTCTAGAGTGTTTACGTGCTAAAAATTTAACGCGTTTTCAAAAACAAGGGCAATAACTCATACTAAATATTTTTCGATTCGTCTGATTTTCAATAGGGTTCATCCTTGGGTGATTACAAACATTCACAACAAGTTTTGTTGAAATCATTCAAGAATTGTGCCTTGTAGAGTGTTTACAAGCAATTGAGAACGGACGGACGTATTTCATGTGGGCGTATAAAAAGATACACATATTGAGAATTGTCCACTTTCACTTTGATTTTCATTTACTCCTAGATAAATGTAGAAATGTTTCAACTACATACAGCTGAATTAAGTTTTGTTTCTGTATCCATTGTAATAACAAGTAGATCTGATATTGTAAGTTTCATCACTTTCTGAAGAATGTATATATTTATCACTTATGTTTTTATCCTTCTATGCCTCTTCGTCTAGGTCAAACTAGGTTTGATGAATTAATAAGTCCTTAAAATTATTCTTTTAATACTTGTGTATTCAAGAGTTTTCAAGAACAAGGTCAATAACTCCTATGATTTAATTTTCGATAGGGATCATCCACGGGTGATAATAAACATTTTCACCAAGTTTCGACGATATATGTCAAGAATTGAACCTTCTAGAATGTTTACAAGCTAAAAATTGAACGCATTTTCAAGAACAAGGGCAACAACTCATACTAAATATTTTTTGATTTTTCTGATTTTCAATAGGATTTATCCTTAGGTGATAACAAACACTCATGCCAAGTTTCATCAAAATCTGACAGGTATTGTGCCTTCTAGAGTGTTTACAAACTAAAAATTGAATGCGTTTTCAAGAACAAGGGCAATAATAATAATAAATATTTTTCAATTTTTCTGATTTTCGATAGGGTTTATCCTTGGGTGATTACAAACACTCACATCAAGTTTTCTTCAAAATCCATCAAGAATTGTGCCTTCTAGAGTGTTTACAAGGGCAATAACTCATACTAAATATTTTTCAATTTTATCACTTATAGACTTTACATTGTGTTTTTGGTCAATATTACACCTTCAATTTCAGAGAGTTATTTGGTAGCGGCAGAATTTAACTCTCCCTGAAATTCACTGAGTTTCTCAATATATATCATGACCCCGGGTCCCCCTTCATTATGCATCACATTGCTCATTTTTAGACCCTTCATTGGTCAAAACTTCCAATTTACATAATTTGAGTACAAGCGACCATTGGTTGTAAAATTGACTTTTTATATTAGAATAGTGTTGACAGTCAACTGGGGTAAAATATAGTATCTCGTGCACATCATGCCATCATGGCTTGATACAAGTTAATGAGAGGCCCAGGACCATGGTATATGAAGGCATGGGTAAGCATGCATCAAGCATACCTTACGAGCATAAGCATAAGCTTTGTTTTTCTTTGGACTGCACTTCACAACATACAGTGTAACAACATAGACTGGAACCCATGGGGGAAACAAAAGAGGGGACGACCAGTTACCACCTAGAGATGAACCCTACAGACAGCATGTGGTGAGGAAACAATATGGTTGATTCCCTCCACTTTTTGCAGCTAGAGAGACTCCCTAAACCCTACCCTGAATGTCTCAGCTTACAGCGGCTTCATGCACTCTAAACTAGAGAAAGGGACTACTTCTCCAACAGCTGGTCCCCACCAACTTTATCAACTGATCTGCACCCCTGACAGAAAGAACTGAAGTGAGAACGGCACAAGATAGAGCAAGATGGAAATCTGAAGTACAACTTATGGTCCAGCCGAAATGAAAAATCTGCTGCTAAAAAGCTAATCATTTAATGCTAACACAGTAAAGTAAAACATACAACAAAATGTGTGCCTTCTGATAACATACCATGTAAAAGCATGCAGTAAAATATTGTAATTCTAGAAAACTGCATAGGACATAATTTAGAATCAAAAACTGCGAGATACAAAACAAGAAAATGAAAATAACAGTAGTTAATAAAAAAAAAAAAAAAAAACAGTACCGGCAGAAGATCATGTTTAGTATTTCAGTCAATATAATGCTTATGAATTAAACAGACATTCTTTTTATCAAAGGTGCATGCTTTAAGAATAATCAGGATTTCTCTTGAAAAGCATTATTTTATAGTTTGAAATCAAGTACATTTTCATCTTATTTCAGCTTCTATTATTATCATGCACAATGCTGACAGGTAAAAATGAACAACATGCTTAATAATATAGCAATGTTACCCTGTTTCAGTGAGAATGATGATACATCAGTGGTACAACCTGGTAATCCATAGTCAACATTCTGAAAAAGTTACAAGTCTCATACAAGAGGCATGTTTTTAATGTTTTCCTAAATTCTTCACAATTTGCTTTTCATAATCCTGTGTCAGGTTTTTCTGTTTACGATTTTTTCAAAGTTTCTCATGATTCCATTTGACAAAAATGAGGTCAAAAGATAAAAGCCTTGAAAGTTTCAATATCCAGCAAGCAGATGTTGCAATAACTCAAATAACAAAATAGTAGAATATGACTTAAAGGCACAGTCTGACATTTAAAGTCCAAAATTTAGAAAAATGTGTCCCTTATCTTATTGGAAAGGTTTACCAAAAGTATCTTGCAGTTATGTTTGAGATAGTCAAAACTACTTAAAAATGGACAATTGACGACAATATATATATATATATATATATAGATAACTTGATAAGAATATATTTACAGCTTATTTCAGAATTACTAGAATCTTACTACTAATTTTACTACTATATTACATTAAGTTACTAAATACTAAATAGAAACCAGCAAGATGAGAGAGATCAAGACAGAGACATGAGAATAAGGGAACGTGGAAACCAGGCCCAGTATGATATCTGGATCCCAATAAGAATGAAAAATAAAGGAAATGGGAAATCAGCCGAGTGTCAAGGGGGTCACATTGCTCTCATATTGGATACGGGGGAGATTTATTAATTTTAAGATGATTTCTTGTATAGAAATCTTTTCATCCATCAACAAAATTTGCAGCGGTTTTATTTGAAAAAAAAACCCATAAAACTACTAAACAAATCCTCATATTACACCTTTTTCAATGATGACATATTTGAACAATGAGTGAGCATCCTTTGCCATGGCTGCCATTTTGTTAAATTCTTATAGGTAAGATAGATCACAAGATGGAAATATAATGCTAGGTAATCTACACACAAAACAATATTTCTCTAAATACAAAAATGTTCAGTGAAATATTTATTTACTTGAGATTTTCAGCTTAATATATAATGAAAAGATAGATTGCCAAGCAAAGTAATATACGCCCACTGTCAGATTTGATTTTCAATAAAAATATTTGGCAGTACAGTATATCACCAGTATGAAATATTCAACCTCCAGACATACACTTCTTTTGAACTTTTTCGTGAAAATCAGGCAAGAATTGTGCCTTTTAGAGTGTTAACGAGCTAAATATTGAATGAGTATTCATGAACAAGTCCAATAACTGATATTTTCTGTTTCAATAGCGTTCATCCATAGGTGATTATAAACAATTTCACAAAATTTTGTCAAAATCAAGAATTGTGCCTTTCTATTTACAAGCTAAATATTGAGCGCTTTTTTCAGGGTTTCAGTGCATCCTTGGGTGATAAGAAACAATTTCAACAAGTTTTGTCTAAATCAGTCAAGAATTGTGCCATCTAGTGTGTTTATGAGCAATTGTGGACGGACTGACCGAACGACATGAGTGACACCAATATAAACTCCACACTTAATATGGGTGTATAATAATAGGTATGAGTGAAATTTAATAAAATATTTATGATTATTATGTTAATTTTACACGTGTGTAGTTTACCTCTTCCTATTCTTACACTTCCAAGCAAAAGATAAATTTTGTCAGTAAAGTTTCTCACCTTATCTGTTTTTGTTGATCTCGATATATCTTTGGAGGAACTGGTTTCACTTTTTTTCTCACTATAAAAATAAGAAAGAAATACAATTGGTAGGTTTAGTCATGCAATGGTTGATGTATACTATACCATAAACATATAACAACATGCCAGGCAAAGAAAGATGTCTGCATAGTCTTCATGACATCATTTGGTTTGGTAGAGCAAATGGCGGCTGTGGGTTCAATTAACGATCAGCATATGATAGTCTGATGTCCTTGAATATGTCATCATTCAAGTCAACCCAGTAAATGGGTATGGATAATCCAGGAAAGATTAATGCCAATCTATTTGGATAAGGACCAGCTGGTAGAAAGGATCCTGAATTGTGAACCTAAGTTGTTATCTTTGTAAAATATAGTTGTTTCTTTCTTTCCTTTTTTTTATGGTTAACATTGTTGCTGTCCTGCCTGTCCGTCATATTTTCTGATTTTTTATGAAATTTGGTGTGTAAGTTTACATTCAAAAGAACAATAGTGGCAACAGTTCTGTCTGAATTTTATGAAATTTGGTCTTGATATACTGAAATTTATAAGATAAGTTGGTGTATCTTGCCTGATAATTGCTTCTTATCACTTGCAGTAGACAGGAATTGGTTTGGAATCAAGATGATTATGCCAATTTTACTTTTAAACAAAAACAAGTTGTAAGCAAGGCTTATATGCTTTACTCCTTCAAATGAATTTAACTTACCTTTCCTCACTCTGAATAGTTCTTTCCTCTAGCTTCATCTCAAGATGCTTGTCTAAAATAATCCCCAAAAATATTGTATTAATCAGGAAAATTGTCTTCTCTTCATTAAGGTATGAATGGACATTTTGTCAGGACAAGATAAGACTCCTTAATTTGATTTTAATACAAAATGTTTTGTCCCCTCTTTCTTCTGTGATGCCTTCACTACACTACATTTTATTAAGATTATAGCTGTCACTTTTTCCACTGCCCTTGATTGTTCAGACTTTAGATTCTAGGCCTTCAACTTAAAGAGGCAGATTCTCCATTTGTTGTATCAATCCTACCTTAGTCCCAGAAACAAGAATATTTTAGCTAAGCTTATCAGTAATAGTGTTCACAGCTCACGGTCGAAATTTGAGACTTTAAATCCAAGTGTGTCAAGAATTATCTGTGTTTGAAAGTTAAAATGACAAGTTGTCTTTTCTTGAGACTTTTCTTGCCATAGAAATAGAAATTGAAATTCCTAGTTTGAGATATTTTTGATGGAACTATACGATTTTCGTACATTTTTAGTACTGCTGAACTCTATTGACACTGTCCCTTTAAATGGATATCTGACTTGTTTGATCAGGAGTATCTATGTAAGCATAGGCTATTCAAATTGTCTAGATAACGCTTACCTTGTGACAACCCAGGCATCTTATCACATTGTGTGACCTGTAATTCTGGTATATTTTCTATTGGTGTTTCACCATGTTCTATAAGGAACTGGTCAGCAGGGCCAAATATTGTCTAAAATTATTATTAATACAAATCTTACTACACATTAAGAAGAGTTGTGAGGCTGATGACCCTATTGGTGCACAAGACTGTCACAGAGATTTCCTTTATTAGCTTTAGGCTCTTGAGTTCAAATTGATCATAGCTCCTCTTTAATTTACTGGCAGGACAAATATTTAATACAAAACTTGAGAAAAATCTTTTAAGTTTTGTACAGATCTATAACAAGATTTTTGAAAGATATAAACAACAAAGTACTGTATGAGACACTGGCAACAACCTTTCTCACAGAAACATAACCAATGTTAAGTAAGATGATTTACCTGTGCTGAAGATATCAACATCTCTATAGCATTTGTTTGATGAGGAGTATCTACTAGTGTTGCTAATGATGCACTACCTTCACTGAAAATCACAATACAATATATTCTGACAACTTTAACTCTAGAATAATATTTCTTCTGTCAGCTTAGCTTACACAATGTGATATATGATAATTCAGTTTGCCCAAGAAAATGATTACTTTTTTTCTATTTGATAAAGTGATTCAGTCTAAATACTTCCACTTTGGCATGTATTTGTGAAAGAGAAAAAGTTTCATGGAAATTGAATGAAAAGAAAAAATATGTTTATATTTTATGTATGTCACCTCTGTTTTATATTTCAAAATGCAGCCAGACTAACTCGCTGGGGGTTGGCTCAGATAAAAACTGAATCTTATGAACTTTATTACGTCATAAACAAACACCCCCAAAGATGTGTGTTAGCTAACAACTGATATTATCTTAACTATATTATTACCTACAACTGAAGAAAAGTTGTTCCAAAGATGGTAGAAATTGGTAGAAAATTGAGGCTCCAAACAGATATACATTATTTCGAAAAGATTGAATAGAAAAAAAATTCTGTTTGGTATCCAAGGTCCAAGTCAGACTATAGAGATCTAAAGTGATGAAAACTGACCAGCAACTCACTGGACTGACTACCCTAAAGACAGTTCAGCCATTGTCCAGTGAGACCAGTTTAAGTTAAGAGATTAGAGAGGACAATATTTAGTTATTATGTGCTCTTTAAAACTTACAGATGTATTATAAAACCAGACAACAATTAAATAAAATACCAAGTTTGGTTAAAAATGCACCCTATCACATTAAAATTGTTGAAAACTGCATGTTAAGTTCTTACTTGATCTTCACTTTTAGTTTTATGAAATTCAGTTGAAAATGAGGAGCTAATTTTACTATTCAGATCAGATTAAACTTTGCAATTGTTGCAAACTGCTTGAGGGGTTAATATCTCTTGGGTTTATTATTTTGACAGCACTCAAATTGAAAGCATTATTTACGTATTAAAATTTGGGTCATAATAACATTATTGGTGAGTAAACGCAATTACCACTGAATAAATGACAAAAACATTTATTTATGTATTGCATTTACACACCCATACTGCTATAGACCTTATTTATACACTGAAAGCGAGGTTCATAACAGAAAGGAGGTCATCCATTAATAAGATGGCAACGTCATATGAATGAATAGCCTATTTAACGTCCCTGAACACCTGATCAACAGCGCGAAAATGGGCTTATTCGTGTAAAATTATCATTAAATAGCTTAATCAATTTCAAATTTAATGATGTAAAATAAGATGTCAAGGTGTTGATTTTATGCAGGTTTGTGTTTTGAGCCAAGTTCTGGGTTCAATATAGCCAAGGCATGAAAAAGCTCTATTAAAATCAACATTTAATTCTTATATTTATATTCAGATATTTTCATTAATATAAACTACATTATTTTATATGTTTATTTGACACTAGTTTGCGTGACTGGTGGGCAATCAAAGAAATGTAAATATTTACAATGAAATAACAAAATTATAACTTACTGGGGTTTCAACAAAGTAGGACCAAACACTATACCAAGATTGGCTGCACTCATTTGGTTTTTTTCACTGTGAGATGCCACTCTGAAAATCATTAAAAAAATGTATGACTATTTTCATCAAAAATTTGTTGAATATCTAATTAAATTATGATAAGGCTTAATAAATTTAACGGAATATACTACTACATTTCATCTTGGCTTAGCTTTTATCAGAGTGTTAGATATATTTCTAGATTGACATATTGTCAGATACATTCATAGTTTACAGATAGTCAGATATATAAGTTCATCGAGTTTGGGAATCATGCAATTTTGTTTACAAAACAAAAATGACATGGTAAAAACGTCAGGGAAAGGCTAGGTTAGCAGGATGACTTCCAAAACTAAAGATAGCTTGCCAGGCAAGGTAAGGTAATATACGCCCACTAGCAGCTTTGATTTTGAATAAAAATATTTAGCAGTACAGTAACAATCACTAGTATCAAATATTAAACCTTCAGTCATACACTTCTTTTGAACTCTTTAGGGCAATACTGAATAATATTGAGTATGAGTTATTGCCCTTGTTCTTGAAAACGTGTTCAATTTTTAGCTCGTGAAAACTCTAGAAGGCAAATATTCAATCTTCAGCTTGGACTAGAATAATAAAACCAAGTTTTGTCAAAATCCAGCAAGAATCATGCCTTTTAGCTAAATTTGAAAGCTTTTTCAAGAACAAGGGCAATAACAGATACTAAATATTTTTCAATTCTTTTTCAATACTGAATAATATTACCAACTGGCGAGAATCATACCTTTTAGTTTTTCCAAAGTAAAAATTGACAGTGTTTTTAAGAGCAAGTTCAATAACTCCTAAAAAAACATTTTTGAGTTTCAATAGGGTTCATCCTTGGGTGATAATACACAATTTCACCAAATTTCGAAAAAACCTGTCAATAAATGAACTTTTAGAGTGTTTATGAGCTAAAACTTGAATGCGTTTGATTTTGAGGAAACTTTTTATGATTGTTTGTAATCACCCAAGGATGAACTCTATTGAAAATCAGAAAAATTCAAAAATATGAGTAAAGTATCAGATAATGCCCTTGTTTTTGAAAATGTGTTCAATATTAAGTTGTAAATACTCTAGAAGGGTCAATTCTTGATGAATTTTGATGAAACTTTGTGTGATTGTTTGTGATTCTCCAAGGATAAACCCTACAGCAATTCAGAAAAATCAAAAATTATTTGTATAAGTTATTGCCCTTGATTTTGAATACGCGTTCAATTTAAGGTTATAAATACTCTAAAAGGTTCAATTATTGACAGATTTTTACAAAACTTGGTGTGAGTGTGAGGATGAACCCTATTTAAAATCAGAAAAATATTTAGTATGAGTTATTGCCTTGTTCCTAAAAACACGTTCAATTTTTAGCTCGAAAACACTCCAGATGACACAACTCGTGTCAGACTTTTACAAAACTTAGTAACATTATTCAGTATCACCCAAAAAGGGTGACTGAAGGTTGAATATTTCATACTGGTAATTGTTACTGTACTGTAATATTTTTATTTAAAATCAAAGCTGCCAGTGGGCGTATATTACCTTGCTTGGCATTACAAACACTTACATTTATTTAATTCTTTTTTTTTTAATTTTCCTGTCAGTACCTCTACCTCTACTTCAGATCTTAATCTTCTCTTTGGATAAGTTCATAATGCCAGACAAGTAAATGACGTGTTCTAATTGTAGGGTAACAGGGTTGTAGAATACAATATACAATATAAATACCTTTGTAAATGATGCATCAATACAGCTGATGTTTTATGATTTGATATGGGAAGCTTTTGTACAATATAATGATAGTTTTCAACAGCTTGGTCATTTGTTATTCTCTTTTCCATGAAATCCTATTAAAATACAAAAAACATAAAAATTTTATCTCAGAAACATTTTGTGGTAAGGTTGTTAAATTCCAATATCAGAGGAATATCTACTTATTTCAGTTTATTCTCTCCGTTTTCTTCCAAAACTAAACAAAATGCGGCATCTTGACTACAGGGTTTGCTTTGAGCTCAGAAAAAAATATTTATCTTAAGACTAGTAGAGCAGTTGTAAAATGAGTTGATCAAAAAGGTTTTACCTTGGCTGCTTTTATAAACTCTGGATATAACTTAAACGTCATCAGTGGCTCTGGCAGCTGAAATAATCAACTAATGATTTCATTGTTAATTCAATATGATTGAATGTAGACTATAGCAATCTACAAAACCTGTATATGCTAAAATTCGTAAGAATAAATCAATTGAAATTGAAGAGCTATTTGATTTGTATAAATAGGAATCTATTAAAGGGATAGGTTTGTCAATTTGAGGGGTTGATTTTAGACTTCAGTAATTTTCAGAAGTACTAGAAATGTACAAAAATCACACAATTCCTTTCAAGATACCCTTTCTATATATTGTAGAGTCTCAAGAAATGACAATTGGCCATTTTAACATTTACATGTTAACATTCATAAATGTAGATAATTCTGGACAAACATGAATTTGAAAGTTAAAATTCCGATGGCCAGCTGTAAACACCATTACTGATTGGCTTAGTTAAAATATTTCACTTCAGAGACTTAAGTTTAATTGGTCAAACCTTCAAGCCAATGAAACAAAAATCATCATTAGGAACTCCCATTTTTAATAAAATATATACGAGAAAGTTGGAAAACAAGAGAATAAATTGGTCTGGTGTAGCTATATTCAGGAACACAACAAAATATATATAAAAGAGAGCTTGCCAGGAAAGATATTTTACACCCAATTAAACCTTTGTTTTGGTAGAACAGTAACATTCACCAAAATAAAATATCAGCCTTTAGTCATTCATATCCTTGAAACTCATTTAGGTTTTCAATAGAGCTCTTGATTTGATTTGATGTGGGCATATATTAATAAAATATAAAAACAGTTGACCCAAAGTCTATAAGCAACACAACAAATTTCAGGACAACCAAAACTACACCACTGTAGTCTGTGACATATATACAACTCAATATTGTCAAATCAATCATTTCCATTCTTTCTTATACATAATGAGTATATAAGTTTGCTTACAATTCAATGAGATCAAAAGTTCATAAAATTATCATAAGCTAGTTATTATGATGTAAGGTATGAAAAATCTCTCTATATATATAAGTAAGAGATCGACTGTGCGACCAGTTATCCCTGATTATCAGTGACTAGTTTCGTTCGTGTTTGAACTCTTCAGACTGATTAGACCGATTTTAAATAATGGACGTGGGATGCCCGATTTTGACGTAAAAGTGTAGTGACATGTGCAGGGCGGTGATGGTACCATCCAACACCGACTACTTAATAATCAACCGACTCAGCACCAACACGGATCTAACAGAGTCTACAGCCAATAGGCCCTCCATTTAACTCCATTGGATATCAGATTGCAAACTTTCCAATGGGATCAATGACACCCCCACTTCTTTATTCTTTATAATAAAGTATCGTTAATCTGTAACTTACATGTCTCAAATATTGTTTTAATACACTTGATAACACATTGGGATGTACATCATCTAATATAACTGATGTAGGATCAATTTCAAATCTTTGACACAGTTTTTCTACTGTACTTTTTACACCAGACACTCTATATAAACCCTAGAAACAAATATTAACAACATATATTTACTAGTTCAGACTGGCTCTCAATTAAAAACAGCCCTAACTGAAATCTTTCAATCATTTTATTACACTAAACAAAATACTCATCACTTTTCTACAATTATTTTTCAAGATGAAATGTCCATCATTGTCCAATCCATCATCCTGTCTGCCTTCCATAGCCGATTCAGGAGCAGAAAAAACTTGATTCCATTCAAAGAACATCTAAATATCTACCTTAACTTCCATTCCCCTTTTCTCTACCTCAGCTACACACTTTAATATAATAGGTGGTATCTGTACATTTAATTGGTGAACTTGTTCTTGAAAGTCTACACCAAAAGTTGTATTTCGACGCCCAGTTTGATGCTATAAACAAAAGAATTAATAAGTTTGATCATGAAATATACATCTATTCTAAACAATTTACCAAAAGAGGTTTGCAAGCTGGTATAGCCCCATGATCACTTATATTATACTTTAAATTTCAAACTGAGAAGAAATGCATTAAGAACATTTGGGTGAAATATTTTCAAGTTTGTCACTGGTATAGAAAACATTTGTGATAAAATAATTGTTTATAAAAAATAATCTTTTACACCCAATAAGACCATGGGTTATAGTTCCTTATTCAAACAAACTTATGGATCAAACAGAGAGGGAATTTTACAAAATATTAATCTGTCTTGATTGAAGAAATATCAGCTTGATATTTTATTTAATGCATCATTAAGATTGTATCAGTGAATTATTAACAGGACAAGAACATGCATGTAAACTTTCAAAACACAAAACCATCATCTGAAAAATGGATGCTCCATTCCAGAGATTTGAGCTTGACATTACTTATTAACGTACTTCTGTATGAAGTTGTTTCAGCAAATCTATGCGGTTTTTTTTTCAAATAAGCGAAGTATAAGAAAAACTGATACCTTCAATATACCAGGTACATCTAATACTTCATCTCCAACTGTCATTGTTCTCTTAAATTTTCTTTGATCATCTAGATGATAATATTTAATTTAAAACATCCACAAACAAGAAAATGTCAATTTCATTGCAGCTATGTTCGTTTTAAAGAGGCAGAATGCACAATTTTTTTTGTAAGATACTACAGACTGTCCTCTGTATTTGAGTCTCTTAGATAGCCTGGCAGAGTAATTATAATTAGTGATAAAGTAAAACAGTTGACCCTTCTTTTGCCAAATATCATGACAATACCAGTGCAGTATTCTATGATATAACAGACCTCCTCTCAAGGGGAAATTGAGATCAAATTTTACAGGTCTTTGAAAAATGTCCGACTGACAAAAAAATAAATAAACAGCCCTGATTTGAGATTCTGTTGGGTTCGTACCAATCTAAAACTTTAATGAGATGATACCATCATTGGAGATGTTCTCCATCTTTACAGTTTGCAATGGTTACAGATGAAATTATTCAAGGATAATGACACATACTTATAAAAAAGTCTTCTCTTAATTCTTCTAATGATCTATGTTTGGAGGTAAATCTTGGACTAGTTTGATTAGATTCATCTGATTTATGACTAGTTTCACTTATACTGTCAGTATCACTTATACCATAATTCTGACCCCACGCTTTCATTGGTGTTCTGTTGATATCTGAAAAATTCATAAGAATTCAAGATTTGAAGTAGTCTATTATAAGTCTTTATCTGACTAAAAAGACCCCTTTAAAAACTTCAGTTTTCAGTTTAATTCATAAATAAATATTTCTATTACAGATAAATAAACATTATTACCTAGTGTATTTTTGAAAATTCATTTTACCTTGCAAACATCTGCCATAAAATTTTAAAACTAACCTTTCTTAGATACTGATGGTGACCCTTCATTAGAGTATTCTCCAACATCAGATGAACCATCTGACCGAACACTGGATTTCCTATTAACATCTCTGGAAAAAAAAATTATTACACATCTTTTATTCAAATGGTAATATTGTATATTTCATACTTGTTTAAGAGGGAGTTCTTGTTTAATCAAAAAAGATGCGTTATTTACTACCAATTGTCTTGATCAAAATCTATCTAAAGAAAACTCTTTATGTGTTGTATTAAATATACAGTATTGGATAAAAAAAAAAGTTTGAGGACAATTGTAACTTACAGAAGGTCTGTTTTAAAAGGTTCAAATACAAACATTTCTGTTTTAGATTGAGAAACTGGCAACCTCCTCACATATTCAGCATACTGACTTCCAACTTCATAGTTCTTACTTGTTTCACATAATGTCTGATACTGTAATATACAATATCATATTATAATGACTGATACCACAATGTACAATATTATATTATTATGTCTGATACTACAATGATCAATATTATATTATAATGTCTGATACTACAATGTACAATATTATATTATAATGACTGATACCACAATGATCAATATTATATTATAATGTCTGATACTACAATGTACAATATTATATTATAATGTCTGATATTACAATGTACAATATTATATTATAATGTCTGATATTACAATGATCAATATCATATTATAATGTCTGATATCACAATGATCAATATTATATTATAATGTCTGATGCTACAATGATCAATATTATATTATAATGTCTGATACTACAATGTACAATATTATATTATAATGTCTGATACCACAATGATCAATATCATATCATAATGTCTGATACTATAATGTACACTATTATATTATAATGTCTGATACTACAATGATCAATATTATATTATAATGTCTGATACCACAATGATCAATATTATATTATAATGTCTGATACCACAATGATCAATATTATATTATAATGTCTGATACTACAATGTACAATATTATATTATAATGTCTGATATTACAATGTACAATATTATATTATAATGTCTGATATTACAATGATCAATATCATATTATAATGTCTGATATCACAATGATCAATATTATATTATAATGTCTGATGCTACAATGATCAATATTATATTATAATGTCTGATACTACAATGTACAATATTATATTATAATGTCTGATATCACAATGATCAATATCATATCATAATGTCTGATACTATAATGTACACTATTATATTATAATGTCTGATACTACAATGATCAATATTATATTATAATGTCTGATACCACAATGATCAATATCATATCATAATGTCTGATGCTGTAATGTACAATATTATATTATAATGTCTGATACTGCAATGATCAATATTATATTATAATGTCTGATACCACAATGATCAATATCATATCATAATGTCTGATACTGTAATGTACAATATTATATTATAATGTTTGATACTACAATGATCAATATTATATTATAATGTCTGATACTACAATGATCAATATTATATTATAATGTCTGATACCACAATGATCAATATCATATCATAATGTCTGATACTGTAATGTACACTATTATATTATAATGTCTGATACCACAATGATCAATATCATATCATAATGTCTGATACTGTAATGTACACTATTATATTATGATGTTTGATACTACAATGATCAATATTATATTATAATGTCTGATACTACAATGATCAATATTATATTATAATGTCTGATACTACAATGATCAATATTATATTATAATGTCTGATACCACAATGATCAATATCATATCATAATGTCTGATACTGTAATGTACACTATTATATTATGATGTCTGATACCACAATGTACAATATTATATTATAATGTCTGATACTACAATGATCAATATTATATTACAATGTCTGATACCACAATGATCAATACCATATCATAATGTCTGATACTGTAATGTACAATATTATACTATAATGTCTGATACCACAATGATCAATATTATATTATAATGTCTGATATCACAATGATCAATATTATATTACAATGTCTGATACCACAATGATCAATACCATATCATAATGTCTGATACTGTAATGTACAATATTATATTATAATGTCTGATACTACAATGATCAATATTATATTCTAATGTCTGATACTACAATGATCAATATTATATTATAATGTCTGATACTACAATGATCAATATTATATTATAATGTCTGATACTGTAATGTACAATATTATATTATAATGTCTGATACAACAATGATCAATATTATATTATAATGTCTGATACAACAATGATCAATATTATATTACAATGTCTGATACTACAATGATCAATACTATATTACAATGTCTGATACCACAATGATCAATACCATATCATAATGTCTGATACTGTAATGTACAATATTATATTATAATGTTTGATACCACAATGATCAATATTATATTATAATGTCTGATACCACAATGATCAATATCATATCATAATGTCTATTACTGTAATGTACAATATTATATTATAATGTCTGATACCACAATGATCAATATTATGTGATAATGTCTGATACCACAATGATCAATATCATATCATAATGTCTGATACTGTAATGTACAATATTACATTATAATGTCTGATACTGTAATGTACAATATTATATTATAATGTCTGATACCACAATGATCAATATCATACCATAATGTCTGATACTGTAATGTACAATATTATATTATAATGTCTGATACCACAATGATCAATATCATACCATAATGTCTGATACTGTAATGTACAATATTATATTATAATGTCTGATACCACAATGATCAATATTATATTATAATGTCTGATACCACAATGATCAATATTATATTATAATGTCTGATACCACAATGATCAATATCATATCATAATGTCTGATACTGTGATGTACAATATTATATTATAATGTCTGATACCACAATGATCAATATTATATTATAATGTCTGATACTACAATGATCAATATTATATTATAATGTCTGATACCACAATGATCAATATTATATCATAATGCCTGATACCACAATGATTTATATTATATTATAATGTCTGATACTACAATGATCAATATTATATTATAATGTCTGATACTACAATGATCAATATTATATTATAATGTCTGATATCACAATGATCAATATTATATTATAATGTCTGATACTACAATGATCAATATTATATTATAATGTCTGATATCACAATGATCAATATTATATTATAATGTCTAATACCACAATGATCAATATCATATCATAATGTCTGATACTGTAATGTACAATATTATATCATAATGTCTGATACCACAATGATCAATATTATATTATATTACAATGATCAATATCATATTATAATGTCTGATACCACAATGATCAATATCATATCATAATGTCTGATACTACAATGTACAATATTATATTATAATGTCTGATACCACATTGATCAATATTATATTATAATGTCTGATACTACAATGTACAATATAATATCATAATGTCTGATACTGTAATGTACAATATTACATTATAATGTCTGATACTGCAATGAACAATATTAAATTATAATGTCTGATACCACAATGATCAATATTATATTATAATGTATGATACTAAAATGTACAATATTACATTATAATGTCTGATACTACAATGATCAATATCATATTATAATGTCTGATACTACAATGTACAATATTATATTATAATGTCTGATACTACAATGTACAATACTATATTATAACGTCTGATACCACAATGATCAATATCATATCATAATGTCTGATACTACAATGATCAATATTATATTATAATGTCTGATACCACAATGATCAATATTATATTATAATGTCTGATATTACAATGATCAATATTATATCATAATGTCTGATACCACAATGATCAATATTATATTATAATGTCTGATACCACAATGATCAATATCATATCATAATGTCTGATACTATAATGATCAATATGATGTGTAATCAGAAAAAACCTGTGTACACTGTATAAATCTGCGCAATGTCTTCTGATTTTCAATAGGCTTCATCCTTGGGCAACACTCACGCCATGTTTCGGCAACATCAGTCAAGAATTGTGCCTTCTAGAGTGTTAAGGAGCATGTGAAAAACAAGGGCAATAACTCATACTAAATATGATTATTCTGATTTTCAATAGGGTTCATCCTTTGGTGATTACAAGCAATCATACTTCAAAATCCATCAAGAATTATGCCTTGTAGACTGTTAAGGAGCATTTCAAGAAAAAGGGCAATAACTCATACTAAATATATTTCGATTCTTCTGATTTTCATCCTTGGGTGATTACAAACAATCATACTATCTATATACTAGTGATTTCTTATATGAATTTTACTAACAGTTAGTTGTTACTAAATAACACCGTATGATAATCAAAAATTATCTCTGTTTCGTGACTTAGGCTAGTGGTTTATTGAGATTTTTAAATCTCAATCTCACTCTAACCGAACACTAAGTTTCGTCAAAATCTGTCAAGAATTGTGCCTTCCAGAGTATTTATTAGAAATTGTGGACTGATGGATCGGATAAAAACTGTGGCATCTGTTGTGCCTACAAACCAAACATAAAGTGTTTTAACTAAGTCAAGGGCAATAACTCAGAAACCATTAACTCGATAGTTACCAAATTCAAACTTGACTGAGATCTTATCAATATACTTGCATACCAAGTCTTTATTTTTTGTCATGCCTCATACTGACGGACAAACAGGAGCTACAGAAAAACTGTATCCATTAAAATCAACTCACTTGTAAAGGTAGTGATGCTGTTACTGTATGTAAAATATGAAAATATTCTGAAGTCACCTACAAAAATAAATTGGAAATATCAAAACAAGTGCAAGATTAATACAAATATTAAAAAAAACCAATTTATCAAAACTTCTAACTGAAAGTGATATGAGTATATCTTTGATGAAACATATCATGTCATGAGACTAGATCCCAACAAGTAAAATCAATATTTGAAATATTTTTATACAGATACTTTGTCTTTCATTGAATGCTAGATTTCGGGGTTTACAAAAAAATCAAAGATCAGATACTTACTTTTTTCATGACTTGATCGCTATGTTCTATTTCCTCACGAACTCTAGCTAAATATTCCCCCTACAAAAATCATCATTATATTACATCAATATCAAGTGAACAAAAAACCATATGTCCATAAGTAAAATAAAGATAGTTTTTACTATGTTGAGGGCAGTAACTCAAATCCCA